TAATAAGTCGGATGTCTTTTAGCAGTGCTATATCAAGGACATCCGGATGTTGGTTATCTGCGTGATAGCGTGTTGGACTCTCGGGAGTGATAACGTCGAAGTTAAGTCTCTCCGTGAGGTCTCTTAGAATACTTCCGTTAGGATTGTTAACGTTAGAATTCCAGCTAACGTGTTTACTATTTAGGTCTTCCGCGATTAATACGCTAGGGCCTAGGTTTAATAGAGCCGATATGTCGGAGTCTAATATACTTTTTAAGGGAGACAGGTATGCTGATGCAACTATTATTGACGGATGGCCCGTAAGTGCTATCCTACAGACCGACGCTTCTAAGTTAGTAAGCGGCGGAGTATCTATCGGTACACATTGCAAGGACCTTTTGTAGTAGATCAAGGTGCCGCCTTTAGGTCCGGTCAGCCTATCATTTCTTACTAAGGTATAATTAGCTATTTTGTGGTCTCTCAAATTAGGTTTCAAGAAGGTCTCTTGCACTAGCATGATGTCGATATCATGGTCGCGTAAAAAATACATACTTCCTTTTGATCTCTGATACCGTTAACATTAAAGAACGCGACAGTCAGAGACCTGGGCTTAGTTCTACCTATAGGTCTTATTTCCATTTTGGTTATGAAAAAGAAAATTGGCTTAGGCGCACTGGACGAACCTATCGCTTGGATAAGACTGATATGCTCAATGGTAGCATTGAGCCTATCTTAAATGGACTTGGCTTCGCGAAGTTTGCGGGCTAAGGTTGTGACTTCGGCCACGTTAATATTGCTGGCGAAGTTGAACACTAACGAAAGGTCAGTGTCGATGTTTGACGGTGCCTGAGGGGCGGGTTTGGGCTTCTGGGCCTGGCGAGGAGGCACTGGCCGTGAGGCGGCCGCGCTAACAATCGCCGGGGGCTTAACCCATGCGTTGGGCTTAGGTGCTGAAGGCACCGGAAGGCTTGGGCCTTGCCCGGTAGTCCCTTTAACGGGGGCGGGCTTGGCTGTAGCCTGAGCGGGCGCGGGTTACGGCACCGAGGTTGGTGCGACCGATGGGGCAGAATGCCGTGGACGCGACCTACTGGAGTTGCCCGCTCGTCCGAGTCGGATTGCTCCTCCATTCTGCTTCCTACGCGGCGCTTTGGAACACCCGCGATAGCTCGCTGGGTGTCCCTCTTCGCCGCACAGAACACATGAAGGGCCCTCCGTCTCGGGCATTCGGAGGCACTCGGGAGTGCCATGATCGCCTAGGCACTTGACGCACCTAGGCCGGGCGAAACAATTCCTGGCCGAGTGGCCGTATAATTGGCATCGGTGGCATTGGCCAACGATGCCCCTATTACGCGGGGACTCTACAACAATCCCCGTGAGATTGCATATCCGGGTGATGTTAAATATCTCTTTGCCCTCTGGAGATAGGTCCAGTATTACTAGACAAAGACTTTTTGTCGGTTGGATGGTGCATCCTGTGCACTTCCCTAATAGGCAGATTTTGCGATTTAAGATCGCTTAATATGTGCTCGGTTTCTAGCTCCTTAGGGAGTCCGCGAACTACAACACGGAGGTTACGGTCCTCCGCGAGAGAGTAAGTGTGAAAGCTCAGGTTTTGAGCTTTTAAATGCGTTGCGACGTGGATACGAATGCCCTGCGGTCCATTGTGGACTTTGGGGCAGAAGATCTTTTTTGAATCTATCCATTTGGATAGGTTGCTCCAGCGCGATTTGTCCTGTAGGATTATTGAGGGCGGCGGCTTCTCCTTCCTTGGAACGGCCTGAGTCGGGTTCGCGGTTTTTATCGCGGTAATTTTGTGCGCGGAAGGCGCGACTTTTTTGGCCGGAGTGGCGTTGGGCGACGTAGGGGTCCAGTGAGGCTCGGCTCCCTTTTTCGCGGCGGTGCGCTTACGCTTTTTACCCGAGACTAGGGTGAAGCCTTCGTCTTCGGGTTTTTCGGGTCGATGATTCTCTATTTCCATCTCGGAGCCTGATTCGGCGTCCGAAAACAACGGGGAGGGACCGCGGGTGGAGAGCGCAGAAGGCGCGGGGGACGCGGCGTCGTAGACTGTGTCGATGGACACAGAGGTCGAGGGCCCGGTGCTCGGTGACATAGGGTCGTCGATACGTACAATGGGACGTTCAGCAGTGGTTTTGCTGCGTTGGGCTAGGAAAGCAGCTCAAGCGTCGGGGCACACTTGACCGAAGAAGTCGGCGAGTTCGGCTATAGTAATAGCCGCCACCTTGTCAGTATTACAAAATAATGTTTTATACATATATAGCACGCAGTCTATTCAATGAACGACACGTAATGTAACGTGCTACGAGATATAGCGTGCTGCAAAACTTAACGCGCTTGCCGGCCTCCTACACTCTTTCTTATAAATAGTGCGCTATAATATAGCGTTATTAATAGCGCGCTAGAAATTTATAGTTTATAGTTTGCAGTGTGCTATTGATATATAGTCGTTTTGAACAACTTTACAAGTCGCCCACATCAGTTACAGCCACAGAGTACTATTTGTATACCGTTACAGCTTGGCGTCTGTCCCGGCAAGATATTGATTTGATTAAGTTGCAACTTTAAAATAATTTCGACAATTTCGCTATACTAACGAGGACATCTTTTAGTTTTTTACACTGACAATATAAGCACTTACTTAATAAATAAATAGCAGAAGCTGCTATAACTTTTACGTCGTCCATATCATACCACTTCTCAATGTAGACATGTGTCAATCATGAATAATTCGTTCGTTTGAGCTGGTAAACTTAAAAGTATTGATGGTTCATTCATTTTCAAAGTTCCGGTGCAACCAATACAAACAATTGACAGAACCTTTTTAACTCGTGATTGGTGTAAATTGTGAATGAGTCGAATTGTTTTTAGTTTAGGGTACTGGATCCCGAAATGATCCATTTGAATGATCGATCCGAATGTACCGGTACGTGTCACGAAATGTACTATAATGATTCGGTCACGAGAAATGAATGCCTGACACATGACTCAATGACGACTAATTACGGCCAACATGGGCCACATTAAAAAGGGGGTCAAGTTCTATACCATCGGCTTCGGCATTTGGGGTTGTCGGCTTTGCCGATAAAACAGTTTAGCACAATCCTATCACAAAGAGTTTGATTTCATTAACTGTTTGTAAAAAAAACTTGTGTAATATACTGTGTTTTTATCTCCTTGTATTTTTTATTTTAAATAAGAATTTGGATAAAGAAATTAAAAACCTCGTTAGAGCTAAAAAACGATGTTTAGTAAAAGAATTTTTATAACTTTATTACATAACACGTGGTAGAGCCACACTACTGCTATATTACAGTTGTAGCACAAATGGTTCGGTTAGAACGGGGAAGGAACACGCTCTCACAGAATACCAGCGATAAATAGCAGCTCAATGTTGCTATTTAATGCTGGTATTCTGGCCTGAGCTTAAGGAAACGGATACTCTTTTTACTGGTAACAAGGCTCTCTATCCTAGTCTTCTAAGGTAACAACGTATCTACATTTTGGTTTTTGACGAAAGATAGATGTAGGTGTCTATAAATAACAGCATCCACTTGCAATTGGGACTGTGTGATCGTTTGTTACCCTTTTCTATTAGAAAACACAAAACACTGCGTCGTCGAATAACGAAATATCGAAATTAAATACTAAATAAAAAATGATTCACCTACCTATGTCGTAACTTTCGTGAGCTTCAAGGCAGCACATAAAACAAAGTTATTAGTTTGCATGAAACAGTTTCTTCATTTTTAAACGAGAGAGTAACGTTTTTTTATATTTTTTTTAGAATTTAGCTTTCAATTTTGTTAACTTCGGACAAATATTTTGTTGTAACTTAGGATACAAATTTAAAACATTTGATTTACGTTTTATGGAAAAACAAAAAAGAGCATAAGTACAACTCTCAAAAATTAAACAATCTTAAAGGTTATACCTGTAATTTAAAAAAAAAACCTTAAAACTGCCTTAAAAAGGTTTATTAAAAAAGCAATCCTATGTCACTTCGACAACTAACCTCCTGGAGTACTTAGTCGTGTAAAGATAAGGTCAGAGAAGATTAAGATCAAAACCTAGAGATAAGCACTACGATATAATCCCACAATAAATAACTTGTTATAAGTTAGCTTAGTTGCATAATTTACGGCACAGGCACACACTCCGTAACGTAAATTGTACTTTTTGCAGATTTGTTGTGTCTACCCCAACGCAAACACCTCCAATAATTTTATTATATACTAAAGACCGTTTATTTTATCAATTTTGGTTTATTCAAAAAAAACTTTCGAATAATATAATTATATAGCCTATAACCTCGTAAGGCCCAAGTGATTTTAGACAAGGAGAAGACAAACGCCCAATGTGCAATAAAATGTACACTATCTAGTCTCATAGTTCCGGCCCACGCACGTTTGGCGATTTTTCTATGTGTTAGGGTCAACCAGGCATTTTTTATTTTTTTCTGGGTACTGAAGGGTAGGAAGAAATACAATGTGACTATTTTCACCCTTCTAGCTTTGGTTCATTTAAATGTACACTGGGCGTTAAATTGTTCTTAAATTAAAAATGAAATATAAATTATAAAGATAATTTTTATTACTAAAAGGCACAACTATTATCAAATTGTTTACTTATGATCTAGTTATTAAAAATTAAACGTTAAATGAGATCAATCATCAGGCACCTTTTCACATAAAAATCTAAGGAAAATAACAGTATTCTGAGTAATATTTAGTTTTGGACCTAAAATAATCTTCACAATATAGTATGAATTTGCACAAATTACGCAAGATCCAACGCTTAATTTTAGTTGTGAAAGTCCCTGTAGCAGTTTCTGACTTTCGTTAGGCGTAGGTGAATTTTGCAGGCCTCGCATTTGAACAGCGTTCTGTTATAATGACAATGTCGACATCTACCCACCTTTTCCGCCATATAGGGTAAATGTTTAGCTCCAGCTGTTCGAAACTTATCATTGGGTACCGGAACTGATTTGCTTCCTGTGCGTCTTACTAGAGGTCAGTTATTCTTTTCTGAGTCAGTAGCTTCTGTGTTAGTATAACTGTAGGCCTCAATGAAATATTCGCCCAGCTCCATTTTGAAAGCTCGTAGTTGCTGAATTTTTTTAAAGGAACCAAAGCTTTCAATTGATCTTTTTTGTACTGTATCCAGGAGTTGCTTATAGCTAAATCAACCATTGAGGCGAAAAAACGTTGTGTCCATTTTCGGGTCCTATAGCGATAGGGACATAGAGCCAAAAGACGGTCGGCAAGATCGACTCCTCCCATTTCCTGGTTGTATTGTCTCACTACCCTGGGGCGTGGTACGGTCACATAAACTTTAGTTTTCTTGCACCAGCGTCGACACTCGTCAGATTCGAAGTTCGCTTCAACAGATGATAAAAACAAAACAGGTTTATTATCGTACCATTTCGTAAACGCTATATTGTCATCATTTCGGACGATCACTTGGCTGCTTCCTCGCCCTTGTTTCTTAAGTTCTGTGTCATTTATCAGTAAATGGCGCACATCAGCAGGAATCCGATTTTTCATAACAGTTCCAGTCCCACGAATTCCGTTCTTTTCAAGCTCGTCCAACAATTTCTCCGACGTAAAATACCTGTCAAAGTATATGACATGACCGGGAACCAAATCTTCTGTCAGCGTAAGAACCGCCTTTTCTCCTAAACCAAACGTGGTATTCTCATACCCAGGATAGGTGGTTGGGCCTTGATATAAGTGAAAGTCACAAACAGTAATAATAATAATAATATTTTCTTTATTTGACACTTATAATTTCATACAACATCATTGAGCCCTGACTCCCAAACTAGGATACCTTGTATTTCAGGAGTCAGTTCCTTCCCATTCAGTAACTCTTTGTGTCAAAATACATTAGAGAAATGTTGATATATATTTAATACACAGTTAACACTCTATACATGTGTGTGTGTGTGTGTGTGTGTGTGTGAGTGTGGGTGTATGTGTGTGAGTGAGTAGCGTGTTTGTTGCACTGCACATAAAGTTATTCATATGGAGCTATTAAATTTTCACATTTATCATAGTCACATGCTTTAAGCCAATTATATAACATACTTTTAAATGCATGATTTGAAGCCTTTCTTGTGCACACTGTTTTATTTAGAATATTATATAACTTGGGAGCTACGTAATTATAATTCCTTTTGCCGAATATGGATTTATCTTTACAAAATATATATATTGTATATTATTAACTTTGGGGATATTTATACGTACAGTTCTTTTTGAATTTAGTATTTGCGGAACACTACATCTATGAAAGCGTCTAAGACATTGATATATAAATAATTTGCGAACACTTAGTACATCAGTTAACTTATATACCATTTCTGTCGAATATCTATAAGGAAGTGAAAGTATTACTTTTAGTACAGCCCTTTGAGCTCGCTCTAATTCTATAAGATGTGTTTTAGCAGCGCATCCCCAACTAAGCAATAACTGATAACGCTCTGGCACAAAGCTTTGTACGTTTGTAGTAGTAGATTTCTGTTTGCAACTGTTTTTAAATTCTTAAAGACATAGATAAACTTTCTGATTTTGTTAGATATAAATGAAATATGTGGAGCCCAATTAAGCTTATCATCAACAATTATACCGAGATATCGAATTGTGTCAGCTTTACTTAGAGTGGGACACTCACATGCCGAATAAGTGTTAAAGTTTCTATTACAAGGATGCGTGTGAATTATTATTTTAAATCCGTTTCGTGGATTACAAGCAGCGGTTTTTGAAAAACATAGAAATTTTGTTTTAGTGGTGTTTAATGTAAGCAGGTTATCTTCCAGCCAACTAGTAACCTTACACAGTCCTTCCTCAGTAGATTTTTTAACAGCATCCCAACTTGGACCATGAAAGAGTAAGGCTGTATCATCTGCAAACATGAAAAGGTCTGCAGCACGAATATTTAAGTGACACAAGTCGTTAATGTACGCCAAAAAGAGAGTTGGTCCCAGTGTACTGCCCTGCGGAATTCCATATGAGCAGATAGCAGTGTCACTCAGGCAGTCACCAGTACGTACTTTTTGGTTCCTGTTGGAGAGATAATCAATAAACCAGTCCAATGCTATTCCTCGAATGCCAAAATTCTGAAGACGGGTTATAAGGACAGGAATGGATACTGTATCAAATGCTTTTTGCAAATCTAAGAAAACTCCTAAGCACTTTTTACCTTCATCTAGATATTGTGATATTTTAGTGGTCAAATTAAAAACCGCCTCTTCGGTTGAACGATTTGTTCTAAAGCCATATTGATTTCCAGCAAGGAATTTGTTGTTTTCTAGATACTTAATTAGTCGCCTATTTACAAGCTTCTCTAGTATCTTAGAAAGTGATGATAATAGAGCTATAGGCCTATAATTTGATGGAGATGATTTGTCTCCTGCTTTATATATTGGACAGATTATTGCTTGTTTAAATTGATCCGGAAAAACACCAGATAGAAAACTTAAGTTGCATATATGGGCTATGTGGGGTGCTAACAAGGTGTTAAATTTTTTTAAAAAACCTACAGAAACTCATCCCATCCCGAAGCACAGTTGGATTTAAGGCTACTAATTATGAGTCTAACTTCTTCCGGATCTGTTAAAAATGATGACATAGATTGGGCTGGACCAATTTGATTAGCTTCCCTAGCAAGTTGAAGGTCAGTTTTATTTAATTTTTTTGGATAGTATTGGCCAAATGATTTCCAATTGATATAAAGAAATTAATAACTATATTGAGAGATACTTTTGGTGTTTCAGCAATTTTACTTAATTCGGCGGATGTATTTCTAGGTTGATTTAAATAACATACGTCTTTTATTAATTTCCAAGTGTTTTTTGAATTGCCTAGGTTTCTTTTTAGTTCATTTTGATAATACTGCCTTTTTAACGATTTAATAATGTTCGTACATATATTCCTATATTTTTTGTATACTTCTCTTATTTCATCATTTTCGGGTAATTTTTTAAGTCTTTTATGAAGCCTATCTCTCTTTTTAATAGATCTTATTACTCCTGGGGTAATCCATGGTTTTAGTGGCTTGTTTCTTTTTGAAATATTGACAACTTTACTTGTAGTATTAATAACTTTCTTTAGAGTATTAATTAAAATATTTGTCGCTAAGTTTACGTTAAATTCATTATATAAATCTACCCAATTTAAATGCGTTAAAACTTTGTTTAAGTTATCGAAATCTAATAGTAATTTTTTGTTATTTATGTTTCGCTTTTCGAATTCCGCTTGTTCTATGTATAAGAGTATAGGACAGTGATCGGTTAATTCATCAAAAACAATCGTTTTAATTGCCTTCATGCTTTTTACCATCAAGTGATCTAAGCACGCGTTTTTCCTCGTGGGTAAATTAACGCATTGCAATAGACCATGAGATAATAGGATACTTATGTATTCAGATGAGTAACGAGAAAAGTTGCCAGGTAAAATATCCAAATTAATATCCCCTGTGAGAATAATATTTGAACAATCAAGGTTACATAGTATAGCATTTAAAGCATGCAAATAGTTTGTGGGATTATTGAAACAAGGAGGTCTATACGAACAAATTATAGTGTATTCCGAACCGAAGCTTAAGATCAAAAAGTTTCCATCACTTTGGGCAGGTTCGTAGGCATCTACTACAATCTGCTGTTTAACATAAGCAATTACACCATCATTTTGGTTTATTGATTTATTTGTACGGAATACCTTGTAATTTGTAATTGAGGGTACCTCTCTGTCCTCACCTATCCAGCACTCAGTAAGCACAATAACATCAAGTCTTATCTGTAGTCGCGTAATGAATATAAGCAGGTTGTCAATATTCCTATTAACACTTCGGATGTTTACTGTTAATATACTTAAGGGATCTTTATTATTTAAATTTAGAATGGTGCAACACTTAGCAGGGTCCTCCACCTTAAAACATGAAGGTTTTAGTAGGCTTTCTAGTTCATCGCTAATAAACATATTATTTATATCTTCGTTTTTACTTAAGTGAAATAATATATATGACCAGTTTTGGGGTTTGATGATAATATCTGATGTAATTTGTTGCAGTTTGTAAGGCAGTATCGATACTCAAACATCATTTTTAGCCTATACTCTGTAGTACAGTACCATCCGGGTTTGCTAAAACAAAAGCCTTTAAGCCGACTGGATTAGGCTTACCCGGACAGTACTGCTTAATTGCACAGGACCCAGTAAATGGAATGATCATTTCGTCTAAAGACAGACATTGGTCTTTCTCTTGTTTGTGGCATCCAGCTCGTATGCTTTCGATTAGAGGGCGCATCTTCCACAATTTATCCCTAGCTCTCATCCGTGGCGTAACATCATGGTCGAAAACCAATTTCAAAGAGTTTCTCAGCAAGAAAAATCGGTTCCTGGACATGTTATCGGCTATAATTGTCACCCTCCATTTTTTTCCTAGTACATCCTTAGTTTTGGATAATTGACTGCTGTCATAATTAATGTTATGCCCAAGTAGATATACAGTTCCTCAGAAGTTAGAAACAAGCTACGTCCTGATTTTTTCGATGGCAGTCTGATTAGACTTTCTCTGTATGAGATGAATGAGCTCATCATCTATGTACTGCTTCAAGTAATCAGTTTTGGTAAACCCTTCCGTGTCTTTAACCAGATAAGCAGGCTGAATCATTTGGGGGAAACGAGGGTCAAACTCTTTCACACTCCATGTTCCGCTATTAGGACAGTCTTCATTAACACCGCTTTCTTCATCCTCATTTTCCTGACCTCTTCTTGTTCCAAGTCCGCGACTACGCCTATTTCCTCTATTTCTTGTACCACGTCCTGTCCCACGTCCTCTTCCGATCCCTGTTCCGCGTCCTCTTCCGACCCCTGTTCTAAGTCCTCTTCCAACTCCTGTTCTGCGTCCCCTTCCTCGCCTGGTTGCATGGCCTCTTCCACGTACTAAACGTTCTTCACTTGAAATATTACTTTCAGCTTCTGAACTACTACTTTCGGTGACTTTATTATCACATTCAATCGAACTTGCAGTAGGAAATTGAAACTCTGGGTCACCGACATCTTCGTCCGACGGTACGATATCTTCTATTTCAGAGTTATCAAACAGATCTTCTATTTCTTTATCCCGGAGGAGTACTAAAAATAATTATTTTAATTAATTGACAACTCAAAACAGTAACACCCAATGTGCAATAAAATGAACACTATTTTACAATTCAAGATAAAAACGAGAATATGTAAGACTGCCTAAAAATACCTACAATTCCTAAAAATGTACAAATTTACCCATTGTTGTCATAATTTCAATATGAGAAATCATAGGATTTTACTAATTAATCAAGATTTAAACTCACCTGGCTGTTGAATCCTCAACATGGTGAAAGAAAATGGCCGATTTTGGCCACTTGACATATACTGCTGTCAAACGTTAGCTGTCAAAATTTCATCCACACTAGTTGCACACAGCAATATTTGTAAAATATATGTGTTGAAAGAATCCAATACGCACCCAATATGTTGATAAGTTATGTTACATAAAATGTGAAACATCACTAATGAAAAAAAGCTTTTTTGGTATTACCCCACGAATTTATAATAAACTACCTGATACAATAAAAAATATGAACTTATTCATCCCCCTTTAAGAAAGTGCTTAATGAATTATTAATTGACAAATGTTATTATAAAATTGACGAGTTCTTGAATGATAATTTTGACTTATTATATTAACTTTAAATTATATTGATTAGTTATATTATTTTATTATTGTCATCTATTTAATTTTATCAATGTAGAATCTTAATAAGTGTTACAATTTCATTAATTTTAATTCTATTTTATTTTTATGGCATGATTCACATAAGAACACACACTTATATTTGTTTGTCTTTAAGGCAAAACATAATGTACTAATACTTGTAATCCTCGCAAGACCTTAAATGTTTAAACCTACCTATGTTTGACAAATAAACTATTCTGATTCTGTTTCTGAATTATCGTTGTTTATGACTTCACCACGGTTAAATGCAACCGCAAGGCTTCATAGAAGACGGTAGTTTCAATGTTACAAACAGACGCTTAAATTTTATTTATATACAAGTATGGATTAAAATCTTAATCTGTATTTAATCAATGAGTTTTATTTTCATTGCTGACAGCTTTCTCGTTGGTTACGTTTTTCCTATCTGTATCACCGGTTGCGTCCCGCTCCTGGTAGCGGACAACAATGCTTTGAGAAAATCAGAATAGTTATAGCTGCTTCTGTCTCTATCAGCACTGCACCTGGCGACACTAGAATTGCTAACGTAAATTATCCCGTGAAGGACAATATCGAAGGAAATCTGAAATACTATTGGGACATGATGTGCACAGCTGACACTTCTTACCTCCAAAACCCTCTTCAAACTGTGCAGGTGTCCAGTTTAGCCTTATGTAGGCATTAACGTTTATTGATAATAGCAATCAGACCAAGCCACGGGCTAACGAGTTCACGCAATAGTATACGTGACCCTCATTAGGGTGCCTTGGCACTGAAATTGTATTAACACGCTTCAACATGTGTCTGCGTTGCAACTACCGACTGCACGTGCAATGTAATGTAGTTTAAATTGAATCTCGAAAATTTTGTAAAATAATTTATAATCACAACCCTTTGTCCCATTATACATTGTCCCAACTAAAGATAACACAACTTAAGCACAGCACAGCACAGCAGCTATATTAGTAGTGTAATATTTAATAATACTTAATAATATTTATTGAATCCAAATATTTAATAATATTTATTGAATCCAAACATACTTTACATAGAAACAAAAAACGTATAAAATTACATTGACAGCACGTAATCTAACTCAATACTATATTATCTTTAGCAACTGTGCTAGGTCACAGACCTGTGTTACAGCTGTTAAGCCCTCCCCATTAAATATATATCTAATAGAAAAACAAAAACATAAAACAATATTGTGTGTGTGTGTGTGTGTATGTGTATGTGTATGTGTTTGTGTATGTGTATGTGTATGTGTATATGTATTTGTATGTGTATTTGTGTGTGTATGTGTGTGCGTGTGTGGTGTGTGTGTGTGTGTGGTGTGTATGTGTGGTGTGTGTGTGTGGTGTGTGTGCGTGTGTGTATGTGTATGTGTGTGTGTGTGTGTGTGTGTGTGTGTATGTGTGTATGTGTGTGTGTGTGCGTGTGCGTGCGTGTGCGTGCCTGTGCGTGCGTGTGCGTGCGTGTGAGTGCGTGTGCGTGTGCGTGCGTGTGCGTGCTTGTGCGTGCGTGTGCGTGCGTGTGCGTGCGTGTGCGTGCTTGTGCGTGCGTTTGCGTGCTTGTGCGTGCGTGTGCGTGCGTGTGCATGCGTGTGCGTGCGTGTGCGTGCATGTGCGTGCGTGTGCGAGCGTGTGCGTGCTTTTGCGTGCGTGCGCGTTCGTGTGCGTGCGTGATCGTGCGTGTGCGTGCGTGTACGTGCATGTGCGTGCGTGCGTGTGCGTTTACCTATTTATATTAAAGAATTTCTCATAAGGTAAATACATTAAAATCTTAGTTAGAGCTTGCTTACATTTAAAACATGTTATAATATTATAGTTATAATATTGCTAAGTTTTTTATACAGATAAGGTAAAGTTTAGTTGCATCACGAATGGGTCGGCTCGATCGGGGAAGGACCACGCTGTTGTGTTTCGTACGCTGAGTGTAGAGAACCGGAGCCCCTTTTTACTGGAAACGAGGCATTCCGGCTTAGTCCTCACGGGTGATAATCTGTATTTAAATTTGTAATCGAGGATAATTAAGATATAAGCCTACGGGCTACAGTAACCACTTATCATCAGGTGGATAGTGTGCTCGTTTGTCACTCTTATAAAACTTAAAAAAAAACTTGTATTTAACTTTAAAAAAAAACATTTTTATTCAGCTAAACTTATTACTAATATTACAGGATCTAATGAACTAATGCGCTAGTGAAAACAGTAACCTTTTTAATTATTGTAACATATTATAAATAACGCAGTCCTTGTGAATTCACTCACAGAACATATATGAATATGTCAACCTCTTCATGGCTAAGTTTAGTCCGGCAGCGCGTGTGCGCGACGCCGCCCCCAGCCCCCCTAGCAGGCTGGTGCGGGCGCGACGCCCCCCAGCACCAGCGAGCGCCGCCGTTACCACACGTATTGCTCCGGTACATTCATATAAGCTCCAAGAAATAAGGATTGTCTATCTTACCTTTTATTACTTGGAGAATATATCGATACCAGAAATTTCAATTTTCGTAAAGGACAATACACGAGTTTTCAGTAGATCACTTTTTCAAACAATTTTTTCTTTACTATTTTCATGATGTCAAAAGAAACCCCAACTATTTTTTGTGTTCTATCCCCATAAATTAACAAAATTAACTAAACTGAATGATATACGAAAATTAGAATCCTTTACAGCCCACAGAAATTCGACGACAAAAAAATAAGATACCGAGAAGCTTTGTTGTTGAAGGAGATTTTCTTAGAAAAATGCAAAAATATATGAATCAGCGGTCCCAAAAAAGCAAAAACCGATCGTTTTTTCCAAAATTATCAAAAAGGGAAGTGTACAGCTCAAGCAATCGGGATAAACAAATTTGGTAATATGCCAAAAGAAATAGCTACGTTTCTCGGTCTGCCGGATACTGAGTATTAGTACCGTACTGGGTACAGCTTCAGGAGGATCTCTGCTACATTATTAGCAGATTCAGGAGCCAATTTGACGTCCTTAAAGCGACTAGGAGGTTGGAAGTCAGACAAAGTTGCAGAAGGCTATATTGCTGATTCATTAAACAACAAACTGGGAACTGGGAAAAAATCACACAATCCATTAATTTAAAGTCCAGTACGTCTCCTTCACATGAAAATACTGAAGAGAACGTTCGTCCATCTACCTTCGTTGATAATTAAAATTCATCAGATCCATCCAACTAGCAAACGCCATTGTATAACACCTTTGACAAATATACTTACATGAACAATCATACGAAATTAATAATAGTTTGTCTCAAACAGTATATATGCACCTAAAACTTCCCCAGTTAGTATAAAAAACTGTACCAATTTCAATGTATATGTTAATTATAACTTTTATAAGAAATAAATGATTAGTTAGTTGAGTTTATTTTGTTTTTATTATTTTATTAAATTGCTTAATTTTTTCACAACTGTATTAAAAATAGTTGTTCAGTACACGTGCGGAACCGTCATTGCAACTTGTTCCGATTGTCAACCCTAACCTTCGGCTACGCCTCGGCTCGGATAGACATTTGTCGGAACTCTTTGCAATGACAGGCTTTCCGCACTCGTAATGAAATATACTATATTTTAATTGTTTACAAATGATTTCAAAAGGAAGTATAGGCCCATCTAAATATTTTACTCATAACTTTTTCATAAAAGAAAAAGTAGCGCATATGTCATAATACAAACGTCATATCAAAACACGACGTAACTAGGGTCGGATTTCGTAGTATAATTATCCTAACTGTACCATTATTTCATAGTTTGTAGTACGTAGTACCGTAATAATACTAGGTGAAAATACCATAATTTTACCTAAAGGTCGACTTTTATTATTATTGGGTCCTTTTACATTTTAATATAAACCCTACGATATCGAGAATTTCTGTATCGTACATGAGTACCGCGTTTTTTAAATAAAATTAGAATTAGCACCCTTTCTGGTCAATCGATGCTCGATCGATCCTTTTCTTTTGTGCTCTTTTCGTTTTACCCTTATTGAATATAAAATATATTAGGTACCAATATTCAAATTTTAACTTACAATAAGTTCTTTAGACAAAATTTAAACAGAAATAAAAATAAAACCGTCAATAACGAAACATATAGATAAACTAGACGCGTGACGCCAAAATCTCGGCACATGGGAAAAAAAACATGAAACGTAAAACGTAATATAATTTTTTAAAAATAATATAATTTTATTTTCCATGTACAATATTTTTGGGTTTCTGAATCCAACCCTGGCCTAATCTAGGTAACTTAACTAAACTAACTGTAAAATAAAATTTTAAAAATGCGTTTATATAATAATTTAATTGTAACAAAATTAATATAAGATTATTCACCGATGATACGATATCCCATGTTTTTTTTATCTTTGTATCGTAATTTTTGCATTTTTTTACCACGTAACTAGACGTATTTGTGACAGGCAAATCTGTCTTGCGCGTGCACTACTGTCGACCGATTCGTCCGTTTTAGTTTTTCGGTCGGCCCGGTCCTTACGCTAGTATTATATAAGTCAATGTTGTTTACTACCAGAAATAATTGATCCCGGTTAGACAGACCGAATGGAAATACGAGAACCGAAATGTATCCTTGGTGCAATAACCATAACATAAACGAAACGGAAAATGACAGTAAATAACACACCGAAACGCAAAAAGAGAGTGTAATAAGTTATATATTCCTCTTCCCCTCGGGCTTCGGTGGACATCGGACGTGTTTCTTATATTTTACTCGAATTTAAAAATAATATTTCACAACGTCGTATTAGTTAAATACATCGAGCTACTAGGAACGCAGTGCATAAAGAGTGCGTTGAACGTTAACTGCAGTGACGAGGCGTGAGTAGGACAAAACAGCTAAACAAGGATATCGATACAACTGACGCAACATTGACTCCGCCCTAACTACGAAGATAGATACCGTCAGCCTGCTAAGTATTTTATACCCACGTAATATAATGTCAACACAGCGTACTCCACCAAATACATTAAATTTATCTGCTAATAAAACCTGAATACAGCTACACGGATCGGATCCTCATCTTAATATTCATATGGAAAGTGATAATGAATGTAGCACTTTGACGAGAAGACAAAAAAAGAAAGATTCCTGAGCCGAGTGAAGAATCGTCGTTAATGCAGGAATTGCGCCGTATGTTTAATGATTTTAATAAACAACAGAACCAAAAGATTGAAACTTTAATCACATCAATTAATGAGATCAAGCAGCAAAACGTCGAAATTCGTGAGTCCATTTCATTCCTATCTGCAAAGTATGACGATGTTTTAAAGGAATTAGAACATATCAAAGAAGAAAATAGTTTGAAAACCTGTCTCATAAACTCTCTTGAGCAGAAAATTGAACTTTTGGAACGTAATGCTAGATCCACGATGGCAGAAATAAAAAATATTCCACGAGCCCAATATGAAAATAAAAATGAACTTATTTCCTTGGTCAAGAATTTGGGAGAAATTATTAATATGAAGATCCTCGACACGGACATAAAAGATGTTTTTTCGGCAAAAGGCTAAAAATAAGGAATTTAGCCCAATAATAATCGACTTTATGAAGCCAATCCTAAAGGAAAATTTTATACGATCTGCCAGATTGTACAATATAAACAATAAAACTCAACGCCTGAACACTGAACTTTTAAATATAGAAGGATCCTCCAAGTTCATTTTTATAGCGGAATACTTAACACCAAGGGCAAAAAGATTACACTATTTAGCCAGACAATTCGCGAAGGCTCACAACTATGATAGTTGCTGGACTTCTTATGGCAAAATATATCTACGCAAGAAAGACGGGATGCAAATAATTCATATTGAAAGTGAAGAACATCTATCAAAACTAAAGCTATGACTCTGTATGTATTTTAAGTTATTTTGTTCTAAATTATTAATCTATGGTTTTGTTTTTAACTTTATATCGAATCCTTGTTTTATTAACCTATACATACACGCAAAACATTTACACTACATAAAACACACTTTTAACTTTGTTTTTATATATGATTTGTCCAGTAATAATATTATAATATTACATAATACACAGGTGAGTAGCTTTATGTGTTCTATTAGAATTAATACAAGGATTTACCAAATATTTTTATTCCTAAATATTAAATATTTATTTAGTACTAAAGTATTCACGCACCTTAAAACTAAGTTCTTAATCAGTTTTTTACATCGAATACGTGATGATGGATTGTACATGTTCAAAAAAATATTACAAAAGGCAAATTTAAGGAATATTATTAACGATCTAGACTCAATCAAAACAACAACCTCTTCATACTGCGATATAGAACACAGCTATAAACGTACTGCAACTAATCGCTACTCGTATCAGCACATAAAACTACTAATGCAAAATGTGCGCAGTATTAGAAAAGTTTTTGTAATCTAATTACATTACTATCGAGGTCGAAAATTAGTTTTGACATAAAAATCGCGTTCTGTTTGTTTTTTATGTTATTTTGTTTTAAAATATTAGTCTTTAGTTTTATTGTTGATTTTATATCGAACACTTATTCTAATAACCAATACATGCACCCAAAACATTTAAACTACATAAAACTCACTTTTAATTTTATTCTTATGCATGATTCGTCCAGTAATATTATTTTTAGTACTATACATATGTTACAGGTGCATAGCTTTATGTATACTGTTAGAATTAAGAGAAGGATTTACCAAATATTTTTGTTTATAAATATAAAATATATTTTTAGTTCTAAAGTATTCATGCACCTTAAAACTAAATTTTTAATCAGTTTTTTACATCGAATTCATGATGAAAGATTGTATTTGTTTAAAAAAATATTACAAAAGGCGAAAATATAAGGAATATAATTAACAATTTAGATACAATAACAACAGCGAACTCCTCATACTGCGATATAGAACACTGCTATAAGCATATTACAGGTAATAACCATCAACCCTTAAAACTTTTAATGCAGAATGTGCGCAGCATTAGAAAAAATTACGATAATCTAATTACATTACTAACAAGATCTAAAATTACTTTTGACATAATAATCGCGACTGAATGTTGGTTACAAAGTTCTCAAATAATACCTCCTATTGAAGGCTACAGTTATAGTTACACGCTAAATAACAATACACAAAATGAAGGAGTGATAATTTATAGTAAAATTAATTTAAATATATCTATTAGTGAACCAAACTTTATCGGCGCTAACTGTTTACTAGCTAAGCTAAATAACGATACAATTATTGTGGCACTTTATAGGCCTCCTAGTCAAAGAGACGTTACAAAATTTATTGAATCTCTTAATTATTTATTACAGAAAATATGTTTATATAAAAATATAATTATCGCAGGCGATATTAATATTGATATTTGTGAACAGAACAAAGATACTCATGCCGAAAACTACTTGAACTTATTAGCGTCATTTGGTATCCTTTCTGCACATACATTGCCCACTCACAATCGAACCTGCTTGGATCATATTATGTTAAAAACGAATTACAAAGCAATCTGCTGTGTTTCTCAGACAACAATTACAGATCATGACTGTGTTATCTTGCTTTTAAATTTAAAAAAATAATAATTATTGCACTAATTTGACTAAGAAAATCACTAATTACAATAATGTATCCTTAGAAATAAAAAAGACTGACTTTTCACCAATTTTTAATATGTTTGATGTTAATGTTGCGACTGATTATCTGGTAAATTCACTATCTAATATTATTGATTCACACACCAAAACAATTAATATATCACAGCGAAAAATCATAAGAAAACCATGGATAACACCAGGACTTTTAAGATGCATTAGAAATAGGGATAATCTCCATAAAAAGGTCAGAAAACATCCAAATAATGAAGTCTTAAATTTGACATATAAAAGATACAGAAATTTTTGTGGCAAAATATTAGCTAATATTAAAAAAGACTATGAAAAAAATGAGATATCTAAAACAAGTAATAATACTAAATTATTATGGGAAACCATAAAAAAAGATAACACATTCAAAGAAAGCTAAAGAATCACCGACTGAATTATTATCAATATCAGATGACCCAAAAACCTCAGTAAATAAAATCAACTCATACTTTGTTAATGTAGGTCAAAACTTAGCTAGAGAGATCATTCAATTAAATAAAATAACCCGTACAGAAATAGGCCACTTTTCAAAATCTATTGTTTTATTGCCAACGGATGAGAAGGAAATGGATCTACTTATATCGAATCTAAAGTCAGGTTCTGCAGTAGGACTGGATAATATCACAAGTGACCTGCTTAAACATAACAAGAATTTACTTAGCAAACCCATAACTCACATTTGTAATTTAGCTATAACCACTGGTAAGTTTCCAACAGTTTTTAAAAAATCGATTACAATACCTATTCTAAAGAGTGGAGATAAACATAGTTTAAACAATTATAGACCGATTTCCTTGCTCCCAACAATGTCAAAAATCTTAGAACGCTTAATTAATACAAGACTTACTAATTATCTAGAAAGTAATAAATTATTATCACAATATCAATTTGGTTTTCGCCCCAATAAATCAACGGCAGATGCCGTACATGAACTCACTGATTTTGTCGTAAATAATCTTGATAAAAAACAAAAAGTCTTAGCTATATTCTTAGATCTAGCAAAAGCGTTTGACACCGTCTACATCCCACTGCTTGTGAACAAATTAGATTATATGGGCATTAGAGGCATACCTTTAGATCTTATAAAAGACTATCTAACAAATAGAACTCAGCAAGTTAGGGTTGATAATCATGTTAGTGAAGCACTTAACATATCATTTGGCGTACCACAAGGAAGTGTACTCGGTCCTACACTGTTTTTAACATACATTAACGATCTACTTAATATTAAAGTTACACAAGGTAAGATCCTAAGTTTTGCTGACGATACAGCCCTCATTTTTCATGCAAATACGTGGCAAGAAGTATATGCAAACGCTCAAGAAGGCTTAAATAAAGTATCTGACTGGCTAAAAAACAACATTTTAACATTAAATATACAAAAAACAAAATATATGACTTTTACCATGCGTTCAACAAATAACATTAACTTCCAATATTCATTAAGAGTACATACATGTTCAAAGCTGAAAACTGTCATTGCAGTGTTATTGAGAGAGTAGATAATATAAAATATCTTGGTGTAATTATTGATAACAAACTCAGTTTTCATAGCCACATAAACATGTTAACAACTAGAGTAAGAAAGTTAATATACATTTTCAAAAACCTTAGGCACATAGCTGACTCAAAAGTCATCAAAATAATTTACTTTGCCTTATGTCAATCTATTATCACATACTGCATAACAACTTGGGGTGGTTCTGAAAGGACAAAAATAATAAAACTGGAACGAGCACAGAGAGCTATACTAAAAGTATCCGCCTCACTTCCCTTTCTTTACCCTACTGTCGACCTATACAAACATTGGAAAGTCCTATCTGTCAGGCAGCTCTTTATTTTACATTGTATCATTAAAAAGCACTCACTCTTACACTATAACTTACAATTGATAAAAGATAAGCGCAGAAATGATCTAGTCTGTTACTACAACACACATTGCACCAAATTTACTCATAAATTTTTTATCTTTCTGGGTAATTTTCTATATAATAAAGTAAACGCTAGAATTGGTATATATCCTCTTAATAAACGCACTTGCAAATTAAAAGTAACTCAATGGTTGTTAAGTCTGGACTATGACACCACTGAAAACCTTCTTATTTCATATACATAGTTTTAGTACTGGATAGATCATACATACATACACAACTTACAGTTACACACACACACACACACACACACACACACACACACACACACACACACACACACACACACACACAACACAACACAAAAGTAACTAATAATACAATATCTCTCAATTGTTAATTAAACAAATAACTTGTTAAGTTATGTTGATAATATCCTGAGGGGGGAGACCCTGGTGATCCGTAACACAGGCTTCCGCCTAGTATAGACACCAGACTCTCAGCCCATAGTGTACACTGTTTATACTCTAACTTGTAAATCTAAATTGTGAGAGTAAATAAAAATATATATTATTATTATTATTATTATTATTCGATGTAAGTGCGGGAGGTGAGTATTTACTTAAGAGCATTTTACAATGCTTAGTGTGAGGAAATAAAAGGTAATGCATTTAGTCAAAACGTCATATTAAAAATGAAAATCTCTAGATCTCTAGTACATAGTCAGTAATCTATGAATGAAAATGTTTTTTCATTGTTTTTATTCCTTTTGCCACAGATTATATCATGAAGGTTAGAGAACAGGAGAATGACCGCCGTAGAAAATAGTGTCCCAGAAATATGGACACCATAAGTGAGGCGCTGCGATCACTAAGTTCGGTGAATAATTCATTTTCAGTCTATTTTTCCGATCAGATGCTAAACCACTTGCACATCCACGCACAATAAAATATTTCTCCATTTTTTTAATGTTTTTTTTGTCAAAAATTACAAAATTACGGAGCATAAAAATTTT